AACAATTCCCGCGATGAGTGACGGCGCGAGGAAGAATTTCCAAATGAAACTTACCTACCATTTGCGAGATGACGTCCACAACGACGAGGACGAGGACGAGGACAAGAACGAGGACGAAAACGACAAGGACGACTATTACTACGCGACTGACTCTCGAAACGCGGCGAAACGATGCTAATCTCAAGAACGCGTGTGCAAGATACGCTCCTCTCTCGCCAAACACGCACGATGAGCCAGAAATGCTCTCAAAGTAGCTTCTTTAATCAATTCCGGCTCTAAGAGATGCTCCTCGTCTTTTTACAAGTGCGGAATATTATTAATAACCTGGTAATGCAGCGTGAGTGTACACGCGAGCGCGAGCGCTAATGATCGCTTTGAGCAATCCTTTCGCCGCTTGCATCATTGAAACGTGTACCTTTTTATGCCGGACCGGATGCTCCATTACCGGCGACACGAGACGCTTAGAGAGAGAGAGAGAGAGAGAGAGAGAGAGAGAGGCTTAGAGAGAGAGAGAGAGAGAGAGAGAGAGAGAGAGAGAGAGAGACGGTCTGCACGGAGAGAAGAGACGCACTCTGTAGCGCGCACGTTACTCCTCTGAAGGTTGTCGCTCGTTTCGTCGCGCGAAAGAAACGGGGTCTCCTTCTCAAAAACAATTTCTCGCGACTCCGCGTGGTTGCTCCGCGAAAATATGAAGAAACAGCAACCTTCCGCGCGTAGCCGCACGCGATTATATTTATAACCGCGCGCGCATGTATGCGTGTGTGTGTGTGTGTGTGTGTATGCGTGTGTTCAGCTGTATTTGTTCTCCGGTTTCAGATATGATTAAAAATGAAGTGGCGGTGCGGCGAGGAAATAAATACCATTCCATTAGCGTAATCCCGGAGATGGTGAAACGTTGTTGCCGCGGATTACGTTAGGGGAAATGTGCTGGTATTATCGCGGCTACTTTCATTCGACTGCCTCAAGGTCAATTGGATTATTAAGCGAAACAACGTTAACATCAGTCGTAACGGTCATCTTGTATCTTCTTTAGTTCTTCCAGGCGGGAGGAAAGTCCCGCCGCGGTGTTTCCGGTACTCGAGATTACAAGTTATCCAAATCTAAGCGTAACAGTTGGGGGTTGATTGACCTGGTTGACTTGACCGTAGATTTTTCCGGCAAACTTGGCAGTCAGCTGATAACTATGTATACTGGAGAAACACCATTACGCGCGTTACATGAAGTACCCGGGGTGGAATAGCCGTAGAAGAACTTAGTTTCTAGCTATCCAAATATTTGCGCATTTCAGTCCCGAGGATCATCCTAACGTGATAAAGAATATCCGTTAAAACTTATCACGGCACTGCAATTTCGCGGTAGTTATCTCAACAGTGACTGCTCAACACACAACTGTGCACACAAGTACATGTGCGCACACACAGACATACACGGAAAGCTTATCAATAGAAATGTTATATTTGAAAGGTATATAATTTCCATGCTCCGACACACACACACATGCATCGATATATGTACGCGTTTATATTTATACCGGCATGCTCTGGTACCTCGTAAATAAATTGCATAGATAATAAGTTGTCTCGCCGAGTTGTCGACGTCGGCGAAAAAATATGAATTAACCGTGAATCGCGACGTTTTTACGCGCTGCCGACAATTTGCAGTTGATGAAATTGCGCAAGGAAGGAACTCCGGCCAAATCCGCCGATAATCTATAGTTATCGAACGCGCAATAAAGTATCAAGCAAGCGTGTTAAGCCGTAAGAAAAAAGGACGGAATTACGAGGGGATAAATCGGAGATTACTTGTACGTAATTCACGTTCGCGGATTTTATCAACAAGACTCGCGATCTTGCGATCGAGTGAGTGTGCGCGCGCGCGTGCATGCGTGTGTGTGCGTGTGTGTGTGTGTGTGTGAATGAAAGGCCGTTACCGCGCGATCGGCTCGTCGCTAATGTATGTACTTTCAGCGACGAGTTAATCTCTCATGGATCGGATCGCGAATATGCGGCCCATTAAATGTCAAGCGATTCGAACACGAGCGGCGGAAAATTGATTTCCAGCCGTCAAAGAAAGTGGTCGATGCTCGAGAATGTCGTACGAGTCGTTCGAGAGCGCGACGGCAGTCATTCAGACACTGCTGCTGGATGTGACGCGATGTCGTCCGGGCAATAAATTATTTTTCAGAAATTCCCTCTCCGCGCGCGAGCGTCGACAGCGATAGCAGATTTCCAAGCCGGATTTCATTTGCCGTCCCCCTCCGCCCCTCCTTCCTCATCGTGGCGCGACGGCGCGAACATTTTCTTTGTTTCTCTTTCTGTTCTGATTATTGTCGTCATTCTTCTTCTCGGGGTTGTGATCTTCGCGATTTGTCGATTGCTGATCCCGCTCAATAATAATCGGGACGACCGGAAAAAGCGATTGCGGTACACTCGGAACACTTGCGGAATATTCATTTGAGGATATCGCTTGGCCGCTCTCGAGCGCCGCTACAAAGATCGCCGGTAATTGCCCCGGTTTGCTTTTCCGGCAGACGTCGGCGATTAAATGTCGTTAATACGAGGAGGAGCCATTCCGACGCGAACTTGCCGCGACGTACATCCGTCGCCTTTGTAGCGACGACAATTTATGCAAATCGGATACGATTGCTGCTTCTGCGGAGACAACGACAGCGGGACGTCGGATCGGTTGTGATTTGTTATTAACTAAGTCGGCGGACGCTACGTACTCGACTCGACTCGGAATACAAATAGTCTCTCTTCGCGCATTAGCCATTTTCTTTTCTTCCGCTACAATCGCGCGCGCGCGCTCGCTCGACCTGCGTTTTGCATGAAAAGCACCGAGTCGAGCTCGCGTGGTGCGTGTGTACCGTCAATGTCTCAATTAAAAGAGATAACGACGAGCGTCTCGCTCAAGTGGCAATCCAATTATCCCCGCGGCGATTTTTACCGTCCATTTCGGTGACCGAGGAACCACGTGGCTTTGATTCTCTCTCTCTCTCTCTCTCTCTCTCTCGCTGTCTCTCTCTCTCTCTCTCTCTCTCTCTCTCTCTCTCTCTTCCTCCCTCATGCGCGCATCGACGTTCTCCGCGAGCGGACTTTTGAAGAATCACGACGCAATTTGGGCGCGCGCGCCGTTTCGGAGCGACAGCTCTCAGGCAAAGACCGCAAGCGGTAAAATGGCCTCTACACATTTTATAATTGGCGTCGCGCTCAGTCGTGGCAGGTCGCGCAAAATCCGCGACCTGCCGGTCCCGGGATACGGACGTCACGGAGCGAAATAAACGAATACGGGAATATCGATGTGCAAAGTTGCGTCGCGCGCGTTTTCGGCTCTCCGGGAACTTCTGGATGATGCTCGACGGCCGAAAATCGAAGCTTTCATTAAAAACTTACGGGAGCCAGCCCGGTCTCTCCTGCGTACGGGCGCACGGGCGAGATTAATTTGTTTCTTGCCGCAATGCGCGAGAACGATATTATGGGACCTGCGCGAGCCGACTCGTGCTGCACTCCGCGCGCAATTACGAGACACGGATTATTAATAAAAAGCATCTGCATCTGTCATATCAGCAAGCTGATAGCCGTGTTTGATTTGCATTAGTCATTGCGAAGTAATATACATTTCCGGCCGCAAATTAAGTACATTGGATTCTTGTCAGTCGCGATCAGCCAGATACTTTTTTCCTTACCAGATATGTCGACACTGGCTCTCTCTCTCTCTCTCTCTCTCTCTCTCTCTCTCTCTCTCTCTCTCTCTCTCTCTGTGTGTCTCTCATTGTAATTCCGGAATAACTCTCTCGGCCCCTCATCTTTCTCCTCCCAGCGACAGCGATCGATGTAATTTGAAATTTGCAAACCCATTACACGAATCCGAGGAGAGCTTTGCATCTCAAGGACTGCTCGAGGGTGCGACAGTTTTGACGCACACTCGTGCAGAGATTGATTTTCTTTGACGATAAGAGAGCGAGCGTCGTTTCGAGGGAGTAGGTTAAAATCGCGTATCAAGGATGAATTAATTTCCAAAGGGTCCCGTCCACGCGTTCGCGCAAACATCCGTTCCCCGTGAGCGCGCGAATTCATAATCTTTCCATTGGAACGGAAACAGTTAGAAAGTTTTTCGCGAATAAAATTAGCAAACGCGATACGGCGGTTCCGCAGGGCTTCAACACGAGTCGGCTATGCAAATGCTTCGACACACAATCGCCTCAAAGGTAACTTTCTCCCATTCCATGGGCAAATCCTGACGCAACCGAGTGGAATTAAAATTCGTGAACCCGCAGAGCAACGTTAATCCCGGAAGACCACTTCGAAAATTCTTCACGTCGCTCGCACGAAAAATGCGAGCCGCCCTGGCCGGGAGATCAAACACCATCGCAACCGATTCGAATGAAAATTCGTGATACCGCGTGGCGAGTCCCGCGAAAGTTCCGCACACTTTATGGATTGCTCAAAGGCCGGCGCAAAATCTCTATGCACGGTTGCATCGAGATTTGCCAACTTTCTCTCTTTTGTAAGATAAACCGCAACTGTGCGTCTGGATTAAAATTCACAAGTCGGCCGAGTGAATCAAGAACTTTAGCGGGACTCGCGCCCGAGTCCGCGAAATTCTTCTCGTATCCGAATGTTAAAAAACAAACACGAGATCTCGGGCGAATTAAGATCTGCGAGCCGGCAACATACTCCGCGGAGATTCGCTCGAGACACGCGCGAAAACTCTCACGGAGGTCTTCGCCGCGCGTTATGATTAAAATCTTGAGAGCGGAAAGTCTCGCTGTGAAAGGCGGTGTGCGCGCGAGACTCGGCATAAATCGCGATAACTTAAACAACAACACCTAGCTTTTCCGGATTTTCCGCACCATCGCTGCGAAAGCTCGTCGCGTTCATTTCCGTGCGAGTCCCGCGAGCTCTTCGAAGTTAATCCCCGCGTTAATTTGCGCGTGCCGCGCACAACGCACCGTTCGTTCCCCCCGCGTTGCCGATGTCTGAATGAAAAGAATCGCAAACCTGCTGCAGTAATCCTGGAGGACTTTCACACATCTCGGGCTCGGTTCGACGACGACGACGACGACGACGACGACGACGTCGCGGTGACACGCTCGGCGGTCGACGGTAAGGCCGACATCGTCCGCTCCCTTTTATACTTCTCTCACCCTTTCTGCGAGAGGACGCACGTGCGATTCGGCGGCTCGGGCGCGAGTTACGGACGCGACCGTACGGACTGAGGGACGCCGGTAAACTGATCGGGATCCTGATGGTCCTCCTCCGCGGAGGAGACCTCCGGGTGCAGGACGAGGCGCGCAAGCTCACCGCTCGAGCGCGAGCGCGAGCGGGAGGCCGCGAGAAAGCGGCAGCTTTGGGGTGAACGAGAGGGAGAAGCTGGAGGAGGCACGGCCGGGAGTCTGATTTAATCGCAAAGGCGGCAGGACACAGCACCGCGCGCGGCTGCCGCTTCAAAGGATAAAAAGCTCCGGTAATTTGCACTGGCCCGCAAGCAAGGGACGAACGAAGGAGGCAATTCGCGAGTCCTCTCCGCGAGACAGCTGGAAAGGCGGGACGCGCGGCTGGAGACGTGCGCTGAAATATCGATGCGCGCGGGATCGACGAGCGACTGCTGGCAGAAAGCGTTAATTCGAACGTCTCCCGAGCAAATCTCTCGTGTTACTCCAGATCTCTCGTTTAATTATATTTCAAACGCAGAGCGAATGCAGCTCGGATACGCGCCTCGCCGCGAGATCAATTTTTGAAATAAACATGTTGCTCGATTTAGACATGGTGATTCGTGCCGATTGGAGTCGACTGTTAAGTTCTAATGAAAAATCTCTCTGCTGCATGTTATTTTGCCTTTTGATGTACCGAGATATATGAGAATGCCGCTGGTATTGTTTTACGATTCTATTTCGATTTCTATTTAAATATTAACACTCAGTATGAGTAGATCGATTATTGATGGCATTAATATCGCGACCGAAGCATCAATATCATAAATGTTGCAGCTCGCGCTCAGCGAAGAGTACCGACATTTTTATAGGATTACGATATCATTAGCATTCCAAGTCGTGGCTTATTTTGGATCAGAATGCATTATCGACTGTGCCCTTGGCCGTTCGTGCCGAGTCGTCGTTATCGGGATCTTTCGGGCTGCCGAAAAAGTTTGTACGTCGTTTTGCTGATCGATGAGCGCGGCTTTTATTCGGAGGCAAAGGCGCGGCGTTGATATTAATTTCCCGGACAAACTTTTTAACTTCAGTCCGATTGCTATCGTCGCTTTCGTCGAACTTGTTGGAGAGTGAACGATGGAAGGTGAACTCCACGATGAATGCAACAACTGAAATATATCGAAAATATGAAATATGGAAAATATATATATTTTTTTAATAACTTGTTAGATTTAATCGGCGCATGTACAGGAATAATTTTATAGGCAATTAGCCCCTTAGTTGTATTGAGGACAGAAATATCCGGAAGCGGAAGAAAAAGTCGCAATTTCAATTAACCGACCTCATAAAATTATAGTGTCATGTTCCAATTACTTCGATATAAGTTTCTTTTTTTTTTAATATTTTGAAATTTGACATTTCCGTCATCAAGAGATTGAAGAACGTTGGGAAATAGAGCATTTTTCCCCAAGTATTTGTAAAACCTCTTTCAAAAGTGTTTTTTCGGCGTGTATATATGTCGCTTTAGTAGACAATTTACTAGTTTAGGAATCTGCTGTTTAAAGATTAGAAGACTGGAGGAAACTTTTCTAGTTAAAGAGTCAGTAAGGACGGAAAGTTTGAAACGCTCCTCGCCGCGGGCTGTGACAATTGAGGAATTACTTCAATGCGCTGTTTTGCTTTTCGATGTCCTCGCGAGGAATGATTTAACTTTATCCTTTAGCAGGAGTTTCTTTTCACGAAGACCAACTTACTTGTACCAACTTACTATATGCCTTTTGTCACTTGCATCTGTTAGACGCGCGCGTTCACAATCCTCTCGTGCTAAGATTATCAAAATATCACTGTTTACCGGCGTTGTTTGTCGAAAGTTCCGTTGTAATCTCAGCGCAACGGGCACAAAATTTGGTTAATAATTGATGAAATCGATGAATTTCGATCCGGCTGAAATTGGGCGAAAAATCATCGCGCGCCGTAACTTCAATCTTGAATATTAAGACGCGAGACGCTTAAATTCTCGAAATCTTAAACTTTTGTAGAGGTAAATGCGCGATTGGGTAATCTGGTTATATCGGCACGTGGAGTTAATCGACTTCGTCAAAAAAGAGACCGTCAGTGAGATGATTGACAGTCAAGTCGAGAGAGATTGCAGTTTTCAATTTTCAAATGTCCGACCAATTCCGACATTCTATCACTCATAATACGGAACGTCGTCGCGCGCACTCTTCACTTTGATTTTGAGATTTTCGACAATTTTGAAGGCTAATCAAAGCGACACCGTCGTCACTCGCGCGAGAGGACGCATTTTCCACTTATTCAATCGCAACGACGGTCCGTGGCCGATCTAAGAAATAAACTGGATTGTGAAGCGCACAAAAGTAGATGCGGAGCGCAACGAGCGAAGGTCCTCCAGTACGATAATTGAATCGACCTTTATCGCTGTGATGCTGAGAGCATTGTTCTCCGGTATCTTCTATTGGATACCGAGATTTGGTGCGTTTCCATGATTACCGTGACAGTAGGGCGAAGGTATCAAAGGCCTTCCTCGTTCGAGGACGCGACGACAACGGTGTTACATTTCCTCCCGAGTATCGTAGACGCGTTCGTGATACTCTTTGAATTTATGACTGCTTTACGACGAGCCTCATGGAGTAAGTCGACTCCGGCGGGAAGTTACTGTTTACCGAATTTCACTCGGAATCGTCGCGCGCGCCGATGCACGAGGCAGCGGGTATTTGTGACTTAGGAACATATAAAAGTATTCAAGATGTGCGCGCGCGCGCGCGCGCGCGCGTGTGTGTGTGTGTGCGTGTATGTGTGAGAACATCGTTTACCGAATATTACTGGAGAATATCGCATGAAAATGTCGAATACACACGTCTCGTACAACACGTCGAAGCAACGTCGATAGACACGATACACGCTGCGCATGTGCGTGTAAAAAGCGAGAACCATCCGGTGCAAACGCAAAGAAAAACATAATTAAAAATTATGTAATTTCGTGAGAGAGCGCGCTCGGGTACATATATATACATACGGACACACATACAGCCATATACAGCTCGTCTCTTCCACTCCCGGGAGCGGAATTAACTCCGCTATTATTTAGAGGGCGTTCGACAGGCTAACGTACGTGATCTATGAAAAAAGCGAGAACCCGTTTGCTCGCGAAAATCGCCTTGCCTCGGCTCATGGATCGGATATAGATCGGGCGACGGGTTAAGTGAAAAATGAGCTCGCGGCGGTGGATAAGACGAAAAAGGAGTTACGGGAATAGGGAGGGGGGGCAGGGAGTGGACTAAATGAAAAATGAAACAAAGCCAAATTGGCTCGTCCCGAAAATCCGAACGAGCACGCTCGCGCAAGAAACGAAACGCTAGAGAATTCACCTCAAAGGAAGCCACGCGCGCCTCGACGAAGAACTCTCTTTCCCTCCCCCGTCTCTCACTCTCTCTCGTCCGGTCCGGGAGACGAAGTCCGGGGCAGGTTCGTACCCGGACGCGAGCGATGCGGCACGGAGCGCGAGCTCGATGTGTATCTCTTCGTGCTCCTTCTCTCGAGAAGCTCTGATTATCCAGAAAGTCGTAATCGCGTTAGCGCGCAGCTAAGGGCCGCGCGTCACTGCCGTCTGAAAATTAATAGACGGTCGTGCTTTCAAGGATGTATCTCCTCTGCCTGAGAGGAGGAAAAGTGACGGGGCCCGGGGAGGGCTAGGCCGATCCACTTCTTGAGAATACATTTCATAAAGAGGCAGCTATGTTCATGAAGAGCTCTATAATTACCATGAGCTCGAGGGAAGTCGCCCGGTGGGAGAATTTGATTTCCCTTAACGATCCCTTTCCTGAAGGCGCGACTGAGAGCGTTTTTTAGCCCGAATGAGGTATGCGCGAGGTGTACGTATCGAATCGAATCGTTCGCGCTCGCGTCGGTCGACGAAAGCGATATTAGACATAACGATTCACGCGGATATGCGGTCGATAGCAATCATGACGTCACTCGACCCTCTCGCTCTATTCCGCGGGATAGCCAATTTTCAGCGATCTCAAATCGCTCGCGAGAGTGAATTCGGTCTTTGACTGGGCACGTCGCTTTTTATTTTCGCATTTAATCTTCGCCCGCGCACGATTTCGGGGGAGCGCATAAATAGGCATAACCACGCGGCCGGAAAGGATTAAATAGCTCTCAATTTTACTCGCCGATTATTTCGCGATAGGAGACTCCGGGAAATTATAACAGCTTTGCGCTGATAATTACGAAATAACGGCGTATTGTGACTGCGTATCGCAGTCATAAATATCTAATAAACCATACGAATTCGGTTATTAATAATCTCTCTCGAGTGCGATGTGATGGTCGAATCGGCCGATTATTCCGGCATTCTGTAATTAATAAGTAATAGCTATTTGCAGTTCCACCTGTCCGTTACATCTGTTACGGACGAACTACGGAATAACTCGGATCGCTCGCGGATCGTTCTCTATCGGTATGCGCGCGTGCGCTGTGTTATTGCAGAAAATACTCTTTCTTGTGTCGTCGTATCTATGCCGAAGATTCAAGTTATTACGTGCGATGCCGCACATTTTTTGAAGTTTTCGAATTCTTCCGTGTACACTATACACAATCCGGTCGAGGAGGAGAGAGGGAGAGAGCGGGGGGAAGGGAGCAGAGTATAAGATTATTAAGTCTCGAATATGGAACGCGCACGGTCAAACGCCGACCAGATCGAAACTATCGAAAATCTCGCCAGAGTCTTCGGGGTAAAGAAGAGAGAATGCATTAGCTCAAGAGTTCAATAACTGACGCCGCCGCGCCGCCTCCACCGCCGTCGCCGCCGCCGCCGCCGCCGCCGCCGCCGCCGCCGCGATTAGGCTACTCGTACCGAGGGCGAACGCGTACTATTGCATAATGAAACGCTACCGGTTAACTGGATGCGCCGCTGTTTTGCCCGCTAAATCCTTCCATGCGCTTTAACCGCGTATCATTTATACATCGCACGGATTTCCGCGCTGCGTTCTCAAAGCGCCCGCTCGTAAAAGGCACTCGTACGGATAGGGCTTAATTAACCCAAATTTTTTTCTGCTCAAGAGAGCGCGTCGACTTTGCCGATGGCCGGTGAGTCGCTAAATCGACCTACATGCAGGTCGCCGCAAGAATGTTTTACGCGGGAGGATATTGAGATAGACGAGTTTTGCCTTTGCCGATATTCAAGCGAGACTTTAACCT